TTTTTTTTTTTTTTTTTTTTTTTTTTTTTTTGTTTAACTTGGCTAACCGGTAAAAATAGATTTTTGTGTAAAATTAGACACAAAAATCAAAGTTTCTGTGACAAATTCACTTATCATAACGTTAAGTTTTGAGAAGGAAAAGCGATAATCTTACTAAACGTGCACATTTCTAAAAAACCGCATTTTTTGTGACAATAACTTCAGATTGTTGAATTTCTTATTGTTCTTGTCAAATGTTGACTGAAATTTTTCTGTTTACTAAAGCAGTTAAAAACCACAGCAGAAGTAACCTGCCAAGTGATTTTTTAAACAAAAAATATCTGCACATGAAATTTTTGTAAACTTTTTTGTTGTCTGACACACAGGATTCTTAAGTTGCAACGTAATAACTTTAGGAAACCAGAAGTTAGGAGCCAGATGTTGTATCGTAACTGTAAGTTTCATTTGCTTGCTGTAATTTTTCGACGGTTTTGGCAAAACACAGAAGGATTTTTTCCGTCCTTAGCTATAATTTTTGTAAAGCTAAGGAACTGTGTTTGTATTCAGAACAGCAGTCAAAAAAGTTTTGAAAATTACAGTTTTTGCTGTTTTGCAACACTGACTGCCTAAAAAAAATTTTTTTGAAATCATTACAACCTTGGAATTTTACAACATTAGGCAAAAAATATTTAAAACAGAAAAGCTGCTAGAAAAAAGTATAGGAGCTGTCAAAAAGAAATAAATTCTCTTGTTAAAAGCGGATTTGGGAAAAAAAGATTTTTTATTTGGTAGATTAAGATGTACGCAAAAATTCTGTTAAAAAGCAACTATTATGCTTTTCTGACATAAGAGATGCTTCCTTTTGATGGTTTTTTTAGTGGTACAAATGGTTGTGCTGATTTACCATTAAAAGCTAGATTTTAGTTCATGTAATGTTGACATCACTTCTTACTGAGTAGCTTTTCAGCGGGAATTAATCTGCAAATTTTCTACCACTCTTATCACATGTTACTGATATAACAGTTATTAAAAAAATGGAAAAAAAGAAGCAAATAATCTTTTTTAATAAGAGTATAATAACTTTAAAAGTTTGCATATATATACGTCTGCTTACTTAATTTCCAGTTCAAAAAAATGCTTATTAAAATTTCGTACCGTTATCCATAAAAACAGAAAGAATGAAGCATTAGCTCAAATGCATCCTTCGTCGTAAATTTTTAATTTTATTATACCATCTGAACAGTCACCAGTAATTATCATTCTTTACCAGAAATAAATTATAAGTTATGAAGACCTTACAAACACATGGTAGCTTATAGTATGGGTAAATAATAAGCTTCGGAAGTTTGAAATAAATCTCTTGGTTGATTTATTCTTGCCGAATAATGGACTATTACATGCGATACAACAACTTTCTGACAGTTCCAACTCTTCTGGTACGTTTACTAAACACTGCTTTTTTTTGCTTCTCATTTGCCATCTTTTCCTTCAATGCTGACAGTCGACGTGTTCGAAGTTGTTGACGTCGTAATGCAAGATTTTTGGCATCAATTTTTGCAGTTTTCAACGCCGTCATTTTTGCAGCCTGAGTTTTTGCTCGCTTTCTTGTGATTAACAGTTTTTTCAAAAATCGCTTCTTTTTCAACAGTTGTTTTCTCCTCTGCTTCATACGAAGTGCCTTCCTGTTCATCAGTTTTCTTTTCTTCCACTTCTGTAGAACTGTTTGAGGTCCTGGTAAGAATGTTTTGGCTTTTTGCAGCTTTCGTTTCATTGCACGTTTATGCCGCGTTACATGACTGTCACCATTACAGTGTTTTTCTTCAGCGATACTTTCTTTTTTGTGCTTCACTGCAGCTGGCAATTTTTCGTCAATTTTGATCGCCATATAAGACCTGGTTTTAGGTTTTGCACTATGTGTTCCAATATTCCTAGTCGCATATTCGTCGTTGCCGAGGTGGTTGCAACGATTTAATGGTAAAATACGTCCATTATCTGAGTCACTTTTTCCAGCATATTTTGCTGCAAAATTTACTGCGTAGTTTGAAGTAATCTGTAGCTGTTTAATGATGAAACATTATTGAATTATCATTCAAAATAAAAATAATTTTTGAAACAGATGAATTTTACTATAGTTTACAGACAGTATTTTCATTTTAAACCGATCTTAATGCATTGATTAAAACACCGTACTTTTGTTTACATAAGTCTAAAAAAAAACGAAAAGTTTGTTGATATTTCAGCCGTTGCAAACCTCTATTGAATTTTTGACTGCAAAAAAAGAAAACATAAAAAATGATACTAAAATAATTTTACGCGTAGTCTAGATTCAAGAATAGAATAAGTCAGAAGAAAACAATTTTTTTTTAAATTTTATAATTTAAATTAACGACTTGAAAAGAAGAGTTTTGGTAAAAAAAAAAAAAAAAAAAAAGCTATTGTAAAAACGTTTACACATTTTTTTAATCAAAGTTGTCCCAATAAAAATACATGCAGCAGAATCTGAAGTGAAACCCTGCTTCAATATTTAGAAATTATTGAAAAAAATTTTTGTAAAGTTTGTTGAAGCCAAAACGTTTCTACGGTAATGTCATACTGTAATGCCTGAAAGTAGAACAGTTTGGTGTACTGATAGTCATTAAAGTCAGTGCAGTGTACTGTTTACGCCACCTTTCAGTTACATCCTATTCCTAAATCATAAAATTTTAAAATTATGATTATTTTAAACTTACAGATTATTTGTGTAAACGTAGATAAAAAGCAAAATTCTATCTCAAAACTTTTTGATGTAGAAAATAAACTCGCTATTCACATTTTTGACATATGGATGAGTTGAGCCAAATAAAGGCGCTTTAAATGTGCTACTGATGCATAAAATTTTGCTTCAACTGCTTCATGTAATTCTTTCGCATATTGAGCTATCTGCACATTAACTACTCCAAGATCAATTCTTGATTATCAACTTCTGTTAAACTAAAATTTTTTGCACTTGTTTTGATAACAAAGTAAAAGAAAAAGTGCATAAGACAAGATTTATTGCTATACTGATACTCATAGCGGAATTGATCGGCAAAAAAAACATCAAGGGAACATTCCAAATGGACGTGTTTTGAAAGAGCCTCAAAATGTGGAAAAACGATATCCAAAAAAAAATTAAAAAATAAATTTTTCAGCTAATCAGAACGGAAGTCACATAAAAAACTTTTTCTTGGGGAATTTAACGATTCAAAGTAATACAAGATTATGAGCACGGGGTCATATGCAACAATCTATTTTGTCTCGTATAGTTTGTTTTGGCAAAAAGTTCTTAGCCAACAAATAAATTTCTTAACAGTTTTTTCTTTTAGCAATAAAATTTAAAAAGTTTTAATTTTTAATTTTAGTGATATGGTGAAGGCGCTTTAAAAGTATGCAAAGGTACACATGTAATGTGTATAAAGGCAACTACAAGTAAATTGCAAAAAAAATTTAAGAAAAAAGTGTATACTTTAGACTGTACACCACCAACAAAAGAGGGCAAGCAGTTTTTTTTATTTTTTTAAATGTTTAGGAGAACAAAACAGCTAAAAAATAATAATAATAATAATAATAATAATAATAATAGCACAGCACGAAAAAACGGAAAACTTTTTTCTGAAGTTTTAACGTAATCTCAAACTTAGTTGACAGTCTAAGCGAAACAAACAACGCTCAGTTAATATCACGAACTTCCAGTACAATTTTGTACAACATTTTTTTGTTGCTAAACCAAAATTCTAAATTTTTTTTTATCTCGTCATCGCTGCTGCAAAGAGCATTTTCAATTTATAGGTTGTAAGAATAATGAAGGTTACACATATGTTTACATTCACTGATACGTTTCATGTACGACTTTCATGCGTGAAAAGAAGAAAAAAGTAAAAGATAGTGTTTTTTTTTTTGAGCAAATAACAACAATTTGTTTATTCTTTAAATATTTGTATATAAGATATTATTGAAAACTGCCTCTGTAAATAACCATTTTGGGGGGAAGGGCAGTAGTTGTGGCTATTATCAGCGTCTTCCTCGTTGTATAACAATGTTATGTCTGAGAAAAATCAACGATTATGTTTAAATTATTATTCTTGCTTCGGTATATCACATTCCCAGCAGCCATAACATTGATGATATTTAATATGTGATTGATTTTACACGCTTTGTCTATAGAGCTATTGTCTTTAAATTTTTTCACCTGATTTAGCTGAAAAAAGTAAGAACAAATAATGTGATACTAAAAAGATGGTTTTTTGTCGATGATAATGATAATGATAATGACGACTTATGATGATGAAGTGTTAAAAGAAAAACGATTTGCATTGGCAGTGGTATCTGACAATCAATTATAAACAGTAAAATAAGTTTTTTTTGTTCAACAAATATGAAAATAATAACTGAACCTGCAGTCAACAGTTGTAGGTTGAAAGCAAAGATCCAGATGTAGCTGCATCTGATCGCCATAAACAAATACCGAACCGCTGTGAGCACAGCAAATACCTTCTTTCAATAAAAATTTTTTTGTTCCTTAAAAAATAAATTTTTTTTAACAAAACAAAAGATTAGCTTTTGTTTTTTGTTTTTTTTTTCTTTTTATTCTTATTTTGTAAATTTTTATCTTTTTGCAAAAAAACCACCAATGCTTGTAAAACAGCATTTTTTCTCAACAAAAAAAGTGCTTACCTCGTTTAACCAAAAATAAATTGGGAAAAACAATAACAGCAAAATAGACCGAATTGAAGGCGACGATAACTGTAAAAAACAAAAGAAAAAAAAGCTTTTATATGCTTTTCACCTGCATGTTCTTTTTTTTTTTTTTTGTCAAAAACCTTCTTAATTTTAATAAATCAAAATAAGTCATTTTTGCTGTTCTCTCCAATTCCTTTTCGATTGCTCAACACCGTTTGTAATCATATATTTAAAAAAAAATACATATATTTTTCCTTCTTTCAAGCCTTTTTTAAGGCTATTTCTAGCGACAAATAGAGAACAAAAAAAATAAGACAAAAAAAACTAAGAAAACTATAAGTAGCTGAATTAAACAAATAACTAAACAGAAAAAAAAATAAAATTTTTCTTTTTTTTTTTCAGAACAAAACCTGTTCAACAGTACTGTGTGTCGTTTCGGTACCAAGCTGAACTACTAGTTGCAAACTTCAAATTGACAAATAACTGCACCTGTTTAGTTAGTTGACCGAATCAGTTGAAAAGACTATTCCAGATAAGCAGTAAAGGAAGGAAGAAGAAAAAAAGTGAGCGAATGAAGAAAAAAAGAACATGGAAAAAATCGGAAACAACAATGACGAACAACTAATATCCCATTTCCCTCCGTCACTCTTGCTGTTGATTTTCTAGTATTATTACTTCAAATTCTAACTCTAAAAGCTCTCGTCGGCTTACATGTATACGGTTAT